AAGTAAACAATCTAAAATAAATGCGGAACTTATTGACAGAATTCAAATATCTAATCTATATCCGCAATTTTGAAATGAACGAAGTATTACTCCAACGTCTACGATATTTCATTAGGTTATACTAGATCGCGTTTATATATTCTGGTGTCGTGTACGTTCCATAATTTTCAACTTTTTTGTATATGCTATACATATACATTTAAAGGGATAAATATATAATTCTTATTGAAATTTCAATCTCACCTAAGACTTATTCTTAAAATATTGTTAAAATATCGCCAATTTCAGCCTCAATATTCTTATAAAGTATATTCTTATAAAAAAATAGTGTATATACTAATAACTTTCTCCTTTTTACAGATACAAAAGCTCGGACTCCAGCAGCAATATAATAACGACCATGGCACGTACCAATACCTTAGACAAATCATGGCACTGGCATTCCTTCCCGAGGATGAAATCGAGCCGATGTTCAAACATCTGAAAGCTCAGGCAGCAACAGACCAACTAAGGCAAATTGTAGAGTACGTGTCCCAAACGTGGATCCACAACCAAACCTGGCCCCCATCTTCATGGAGCGTCTGCATGATGGCCAGAAGTAACAATGACATAGAAGGGTGGCATCATGGGCTTCACCACAGTGCCTCAGGAAAGTGGCATATGCCATTCTACATGCTGCTTGACCTCCTCCATCAAGAGGCCCGCCTTACAGCATTATGCATTCATCTAGTTTCCGAGAAAAAACTTAAAAGGATCCAAAGGGCAAAGTATCGTTCTCTCCAAGCCAAAGTTTTCGCTCTCTGGGACGATTTTCATCACCAAAGAAAAAACGCACAGCAGCTTTTAAGGGAATGCGCCCGTCTTAATGGACCGTCCAGACAATACACTCAGTGCTAAATTAACATGTAATTTCTCGATAGCTAGGTAAACTTTGCAAGTTGTAAATACACTTAATTCCAAAATGGCGGCCACCGCGGATGGTCTGGGCCGAGTTGACACGAAA